TAAGTCGCTAATGCAGCCTTCTAATTGGTTCATGTTATTTTAAGACTATACTTAAGACTGCCTTAAATATAAGATCCGACTATGAATACCGGCCTTTAAGTTAAGAAATCTAAGAAGCTGTTGAGAAGAAGAACATTGTTTTTACGTAACAGTTATATTATTGAATAGGAAATTACAACATTAATATTATATTATTATTATTTGGTGTTTACTATATAGGTACATTGTCAGAACATTATAACATTGATATAATGTTATGTTAATTTGGGTTCAGTGGAACGACTACAAGTTCGAGAACCACTTGAATTATGTAGAAATCCAAAAGGTAAACATACTTATGTCATGTATGATAGCTAGTAGTCAGTTCTTATATTTAAGACTGGCTTAAGTACAGTGTTGAGATATCAATTCAATATTTTATGAGGAATCAGTTGTATTCTTATCAATCCTTGCTAATATTCATAGTTGGTACTTATTTCAAGATCTCTTAAGGGATCTTATGTAATATTTTAAGATACTAATCCTTAATACACACTTTTTGGTCATTCAATTTATGTCCTGTGCATTTCTTTTCTTTGAAATATTAAGAGCACCTGGTCAAATACTGGTCTCTTCTATTTCTAAAAAAGTTTGGCATCTATAGAACAAATTTTGTGTGTTATCAGCTTTGATTCGTGATTATTTAACTAGAATAATTTCGAAGTTCATCTCTGGATCACAAATGATCATCCATCGTGTGTACAGAGGCTGTATTCTAAAATTCATTGCCAGTGCTGAAAATGTATAGTATACGTAACATAAATTGTAGATTTTCAGCACTGGCAGTGCATTTCGGAACATAGTCAGAATGTACATTTTTCGTTACTAACCCTTAATAAACAATAATTTTTGGCACTCTTGTGTTAAATATTGTCTGTAATGTTGTAAAGAACATTTGCCTAATCATAATATTTTTTTAACACAACAATAATAAAATGCATTGTTTAAAACGTAAATGTAATATATCCTCAATTTTTGTTATAGCCGTTCATACATATTAAAAAAACATCATTTTCAGGTTACTAAATAATTAAATTTTTTGACAGTCGACATTTGAACTATTTTTTCTTTTATAGGTTGAAATGTCAACTTTAAGATATTGTGTGAAACATATTTTTCCTTTAAACATTTTTTTTGTTTTACATTTTTATATAAAAAAGTGCATTTTTCTCATTTTGTTAACTATATTTAGTTGTAATAATTTATATACAATTTGTTATAAATATATAACTTTACAAATACAAATCTAAAGATGTCAAAATATACATAAAAATTGCTTAATAAATTTTTGTATACTTGTAAAAGTAATGAAAATTAATCCAGGACACAAAAGACTCATCTTGTGTAATAAAGGTGCTAAAAACTAAGGTGTGTACTAAGGTTAATGATTAGTATATATCTTAAAACTATATTTAATTCTTCGGAGCTGATGTGATCAGTGTTAGACTCTTCTCGGTTATATGCTTTCAGAGCTAATGGTAGTCCACTATTCTGACTATTTAGTGATTGTTTGGCTAACAAAGATTTTGATGAGCAAAAATAATTCTCTGTGAAGTAATGTTAAGATAAAAAATACATTATATTTGAATTTACTATTAATTCTTGTATCTATTGTAGCAATTGTCATTTTACATAAAAATGTCAAAAAATTCAATTTTCTTTGTACGTGCCAAAGGGTTTGCGGGTTATCGCCATATCATGATTCATTGCTAATTTCATTTTGTGAACCATGCCGTTCTTTTCATCAGGACGAGGATGCACTGATACTAATACTGATGTATATATCAATACGCTCCTCGTCCTGATGAAAAGTGAATGGCAAAGTTCACAAAACGTTGGCATTAGCAATGGATCACGACACGGCGATAATCCGCAAACTCTTTGGCACATACAAAGAAAATAGAATTTTTTGACATTTTTATATAAATTGACAATTGCGCAAATTTTTTGGCATATTCGAAGAAAATACCCGTGAAAGCCTCAAAAATATTATCAATTTTTTTTGTGTTATATTTGAATTATTCTTATTAAAACTAAATTTATTCTTTTTTATATATTCATTCTTTTTTGTTTAAGTTATGTCATTTTGAAATTAATTAATGACTTTTAATCAACATGTATTAAATATGAATAGTTTTCACGGATCCAATGTCAGTAATTGTTACAGATTTTGATGTTAGCTCCAAAGGATTAACATGCTCTGTTTAAAAATCGATGACAAATTCCATTCCTTGATGCTATGTCATGCAAAGCTGCAATAATGTAGCTGTACTCGATATTTTGGTTTATGTTTTTCATAATATACACTTTATTGTAAAGATATGAATGAACTTGCATTTATATCATTTGAGTGTATATGTTTATGTATCTCATTCTGTATTATTTTGACTGTGTGGCGACATACCATTTCAAGTCTATCATATAATACTTGGTTTTTATCATATTTAATATGAATAATAGTCATAATAGCGTTTTTCTAACATCATGAACATTTCTTAAGGATATTCTCCAGTGGAGAATAATAAAAGATATGTCTATTTTTTTTATGTTTCATAAGGTGCATACATTCTAAGAAAACATGCCTCTGTTTGGAAAGTCTCAAAAGAGTCCAGCAGAAGTTGTGAAGGCCCTCAAGGAGGCGGTAAATGCATTGGAACGCGGCGACAAGAAGGTAGAGAAGGTATGTTGTTGCGGATACACATTGGTTTCTACGATGAAATACATCCCCTTTTAGGCGCAAGAAGATGTAAGCAAGAATCTAGTGCACATCAAAAACATGTTATATGGCACGGCCGAAACAGAGCCACAGGCAGACATCGTGGTGGCACAGCTGGCGCAGGAATTGTATAACAGCAATCTACTACTTCTGCTTGTGCAAAATTTAAGTCGCATCGACTTTGAGGTACGCTGTCAATATACGTGAAAAAGATCCAAACAAATCAAATGAATATTTTTTGTGGCAGATAGAAAGATGTATGTATGCGAAGTTGTTACTAAATGTTAGAATATTTATTAGAGCGCGGCATTAAAGTGCATGCCCAAGGTGTAACAGAAACTCTAATTTTTAAGTAATATTTAATATTATTCAAGTTTTAAGACACATCCCACATTTACTATAATAACAACATAACTCAGAAATTATTGAAAATTATTGAATTAAAAAATTAAACGTAAAAAAAGTAAAAACCTATTTTAAAATACATATTTTACAATCTTCCACAATTAGTTATTATATCAAAACTGGAATTTAAAATTAATATTACAAACAATATTAAGAATCTTTATTTTAGACCGCATATGTGAGAAACAATCAATACTAGAAATTTAAAATGCCTATTACGGTCGAAGCTGGATCTTCATTGCTTTAAATAATTCAATCTAGAATTACTAATATACACTATATATGTACTTGCATATATATTATATTATAGTCTTTTCAAACTGCGCGCCGAATTGTTTTTCCGGACTATAAACGCACAATTAAAACTACTTTAATAATCGCGAATTAAATTGACAAGCAATTTAATAATTTAATGCTATCATTAAGCATCATATTATAAAGATATTATATATATGGTATATATGCAAGTACATATATAGTGTATTAGTAATTTTAGATTGAATTATTTAAAGCAATGAAGATCCAGCTTCGACCGTAATAGATATTTTAAATTTCTAGTATTAATATTATAAAATTTTTATGATTCAAAACATTCAAACTTTGTTTTTAGAGTTGAGTTATAGCAAATTAGCGAATAATATTTAAATATTTAATAAAATATAATTTACAGCTTTGTGTCCTTTTATTTAAATTGTTAGCGCTAGTTATTAACGATTGTCATGAATTTAATCTTTCTGTTTCTAATTAAGGGAAAGAAGGATGTCGCACAAGTCTTCAATAACATTTTGCGGAGGCAAATTGGAACTAGATCACCCACCGTAGAATACATATGTACCAAACCTGAAATTCTTTTTACACTTATGTCTGGGTAAGTCTCTTTTTTCCTTTATGCTATGTCAATAGAATAATAAAAATATGTTACTATTATTGAATGCACTTTTGTCTTGCAGTTATGAACACCAAGACATTGCACTCAACTGTGGCACAATGTTACGAGAGTGCGCAAGATATGAAGCCTTGGCCAAAATCATGATCTATTCGGATGACTTTTATAATTTTTTCAGATATGTTGAGGTTTCTACGTTCGATATCGCATCTGACGCTTTCTCTACGTTTAAAGTACGTTATGTTCTACAATGTGAACAAGAAGCATGTGATTTTACTTTGTTTATTTACATTTATTATTTACAATTTATTTTGTTCTTTTACTAAAAATATTTAAATATTTACAAAAAAAAACCGTTGTAGTTGCTATATATGTATTAATATTATGTTGTGTTTAATGTAATTAAGTGATTCATAATTTTATCCAGGAATTACTCACGAGGCACAAAATACTAAGCGCCGAATTTTTAGAGATACATTACGATAAAGTTTTTTCACACTATCAGAGGTTACTCAATTCAGAAAACTATGTAACACGACGACAGAGTTTAAAACTGTTGGGCGAGCTATTACTTGATAGACACAATTTTACAGTAAGTATCTGGCTTTGTCTTAAGCGATATCATTTATATAATTATACAAAAAAAGGAATTTTTAAACATATCTTTAATAGTATTTTCTCTTGGGATACACTGGGTGCAGCTTTGCACCGCACCAGTTGCATATATGCGCTACATTCAGCCACACTACACTAGAGTGGTGCACACCATGGTGTACACTACATCATTATTACGCTAAAACTCTGTTCCCGCTTGACTTCCATTTTCTAAATTTTAAACGTCACACTGGCTTTACACTGTCCCTTTGAGACGGTGTAGCAAAATCTCACTTCGTGCATAAAATTTGCACTACACCGTAGCCACGGAAACACAGTATACTGAATGAGTTTGCTTACCACCAGCCATGGAAACACGGTACACTGTCTGAGTGTTGCACTAGAGGGCGATAGTGCAGCCAAGAGAAAACGCTAGAATAGTATAAAATAATTTCTTTTTTACACATAAATATTCAGTCGCTGGAAGTATTACCAAATAATATACTAAGTATTATGCTTCACCTGTTTAATAAATATAGATAGTATATTTTTTTCTAAAGAAGGAATATACAGGATGTCTGGTACATTTTGACAAAGCGTTCGTGTATAAATAAAGCAGACTAAACTAAGTCAAAAAGTCCTTTACCATTTTACAATTTTCGCAATAGTTAACAAGATACTAATTACTAAAAATCGCTAAATTTTGGTCTTAAATAATTTTTTGTTCAATTACTATCAACCTTACAGAAAAACAGCAAGGGACAAAAATTGTTTATTTTCTTCTCATAAAGTTCTGAGAATTTTTTCAGAATTTTTTAGAATTTTTTAATACTATTTTTTAAATATTATTTTATAAAAATAAAAAAATGTACTAAAATCTTGATAAAAAATTCTGAAAAAATTAAAGTTTTATGAGAAGAAAATAAACAATTTTTATTTTTCTGTAAAGTTGATAGTATTTGAGAAAAAAATTATTGAAAACCAAAATTCGGCAGTTTTTAGTAATTAATATTTTGTTTTAACTATTGTGAAAATTGCAAAATGTAGAGGACATTTCGACTCAGTTTAGTTCGCTCTATCTACACACGAGCGCTTGTCAAAACTTACCGGACATCCTGTATACATTTTGTCGGCACACGCTTCTCGATAAATAGTCAATATATAAAATATTAATAAAACCAAAAATTTAAGAAATAAGCAATAATTTGTTCAAACAAAAATTCTTAATCCCCTAGCTCGCCATTGTTATTTTTGATGATCTTCTCTTGACCATGCTACATCTCTGAATTGAATGTATATTTTTTAGCCGTGTGAAATCTATACCTTAAAATCAAACTCAAAAGATATATAGCTCAAAAGATTTTTATTGGAAAAATTTGCAAAAAATGGCTGTTTTTGCAATTATATATATATATATAGTATAATATAGTATAATATATATATATATATATATAGTATAATATATATAGTAATTCAGATTGAATTATTTAAGCATTAAAAATCTAGCTTTGACCGTTATGGTCATTACTTCTGTTTCTTATTGTTGATTTTCAAATGTACAATCCAGCAAAATTCTTAATTTTTTTTTATTCTACAATTTCATGTATTTATGGTAAATGTTAAGTTTAGCCCTCCTCACGTCCAATCTTGATGAAACCAGATTTATTTGACGGATCTTTACATAAAACGGTAAATGTTAAATTTAGCTTCCCCTCACATTCATTATTTTTATTCAACCCGAAATCCGGTAAACATATATTTAATAAAAAATGAAAGGGCACCCAGAACACCGAAAACGAATTAACCACACGCGGGTTCCCTCGTTGAACTTTCGTGCTACTACTCTCACGTTGAGAGTAACGTAAAAAAAATTGTCTGCAGGCTTATCCTATCTATGGATAATTAAAGTGTTTCCATCATATCTAATATTACACCGGCACATACGATATTTAGCACAAAATACAAGGTCTCTATAGAAAATTCATTCTAATTATGACAATTGTTTGCGTTCGGAGTACAAGAGTCTTAATATAATCTCGGTCTTTATACGAAAATTTTTAAATGTAAATCGGTAGTGATAATTTTATTACACTGATGATGACCTGATGTAAAAAGGTCGAAACATTTGTATGTATTTATAATTGTTATTCCACAATAAACATATAATATTGTATAGCATGAACAACAAGCTTGACTTCTTAGCCTTTTTACGTTTTGATAATTTAAAGTTTTTTCCTCAAGCTGGGTTCTACGTCTTTAAATTATTGTTCGAATGACTACAAATATGGTATATACGCATGTATACACACACATATAGTATATATATATATATATATATATATATAAATAATTCTTTAATACTTATAATTCACATTGAATTAAAAATCCAGCTTAGACCATTGTAGACATTTAATTTCTATTAATTGTGTTCTCACATCACATGTACAGTTTAAAATAAGATTTATCAAATTATATTAGAAAAAAGTTATAGCAATGTGTGAAAAATCGCATAGGATACATTGTATCTTAGGATGGCGAGCTAGGGTTAAGATATATCATTTGTGTACTTATATTTTGTCAAAAGTATTGTTAGTAGAATAATCAAGTTGCTTACTATCGATAATTAGAAATATATTGCGATATCTATAGTAATAAGAATACAAGTAGAAATTTTTGTCTGCACTTCCTGACGACTTGAAATCTTAATGCTTCTTTCATTACATTTGTGAGAAACTTGTGACAGATAGTAACAATCTGTTATTAAAATTAGTTCTCATGTTAAAATTGTTATAGGTTATGACACGATATATATCAAATCCAGATAATTTAAAATTGATGATGAACATGCTGAAGGAAAAGTCTCGCAATATACAGTTTGAGGCTTTTCATGTTTTCAAGGTATGGTAACGCTCAATATTAACTTGAATTTTCAATTCGCAATTAATATTAAATTCGTATGTTTAATTTTTCAATACTTGATACATTGCAGTATAAAATTCATTTTTTTCTCAAGTTTAAGTAGTCATTAAAAAATACGTAAAAATTGATTTTACGTAGATTTTACGAAAAAGAGTAAATTAAAACGAATTTCATTCCTTCGAAACCAAAACGTATGATTATTTGAGTTATACAAGTATAAATTATTAACACTAATGTCGTTAAACTAAATAAAAATAACTAATTTTATTAAGTCTGCGCATTGAGTTCTGTGCAGACTCCTACGGCCCTATTGTTTTTATTCATCCCTTCTGATTGTGTCTAGGTATTTGTGGCGAATCCCAACAAACCAAAACCTATTCTAGACATATTGCTCCGCAATCAGGAGAAGCTGATAGAGTTCCTGACGCGCTTCCACACGGATCGTTCTGAAGACGAGCAGTTCAACGATGAGAAGGCGTATCTGATTAAGCAGATCAAAGAACTTAAGTCTGTACATGATAATTAAGTCAAGGAAATACAATTATTGCTACCGCTACGACTAACTACCATCATTGAGTGTTTTCCAGCAATGTTTACACAGTGACACTGTGTAACACAGGGTGCGCTTTCATGCTTTTCAATTGTGACACAAACGTACAACTAAGATACTGTGTTCGACTGTGTCAATTTATATCACTTCATTTAAATATCAAATTTTTGTATTTCATTACTATTTAGTTTCCTAGGAGTAATATTTCAATAAGAGGTGTTGTACTAAGTTTAAGATTATATTCGGACGTAGGTGATATGAAATTTTTTTCTTTATTTCATTCTGGTGGTGAAATAAAAAAGCTAAGCAATGGCTGCGTTCAGCAGAGAAAATTAATCAGTTTTAGCGCTGAATGATTTTTTAATATGATTGGTTCTTGTTTTAGTTTTTCGCTGAATCTAAGTGTAGAAATCAATCATATTAAAGAATCACTAAGCACTGATTAGTTTCCTCTGTTGAACGAAACCAATGTTTCAGTTATAACTCGACACTCTGTATTACTATGTCATACAGTGTATAATTGTGTTTCATTGCTAGAAAGCACTCATTACTAGAATCTACTGCTGCTGTTGCTAATTACGGTTTTATCACCATTATATAATTATAATTCTTCATCATCATCACCACCATCATCATCATCATCATCATCATCATCATCATCATCATCATCATCATCATACTGCTGCTGTTGCTAATTACGGTTTTATCACCATTATATAATTATAATTCTTCATCATCATCATCACCATCATCACCATCATCATCATCATCATCATCTTCATCATCATCACCATCATCATCATCATCATCATCATCATCATCATCATCATCATCATCATCATCATCATCATCATCATCATCATCACCATCACCATCATCACCATCACCACCATCATCATCACTGTCATAATTATTATGATCACCGTCATCATTGTCATCATCCTGGCATTATTATTATTATTATTAATAATTTTATTTGTGAGTAAATTACTATGTAAATAAAAATTACATTTATATCTTATTGTACTATACTACATATAATATATAATCGATCGAGTTGTCATCGTTCTACCACGTTTTTAGGAATGAGTCGGTTATTAAAATAGAATGAAAACTTAATTGTCTCTTGATTTTTATGATTTTATTTGATATTGTCAGCTTCTTTGTTTGTAGTTTTATCACATTTGAAAAATATCTTACCGTCATATTTTAAAATTGTTGCAAATATGTATAAGTACTTTTCGAAACTTATTTCTAGTCCTCGCATTTTTTAATTATCTCTTTAAAAAGTTCAGATTTGTAGCTTAACGCTTACATTTTTACGATTTAAATCTACTAAGCATTGGTCAACATTCAGACCGATACTATGCAAATAGAATTTTTTTAATGTAACAAATATATATAATTTACCAACTTTGATATATTATGTGCAAATTCTTTTAACAATGGCTGTAACAGCAATACTCATGTCGGTAAACAGACGCGGTTTTTGCATTGTTAAATTATTTCGATCAGGTTCACAATTGGGATATAATTTCTCTGGGTCCTTAAATTTTTGGAGTTTTACCACTATGGCATCCTTCAAGACAAAATGTTGAATATTTTTCATTAGATAATTTATTTGTGGACACATTGCTATAGCCTGAAAAAATATTGAAAAATATATAAAAACAGGAAGAAGTCAAAAAGTAAAGCTATACAAAAAATTATTCAAAAGTATATAAAAAAATTATTAAAACGCTTAAAGAATTTGAGACTAAAAAATGTTTAACCCTCAACTACACGAGTGGGTCGATTGGACCAGGGTGAAAATTTTGGTCGGCTGCTATTTTTGTACAGTTAATATATTGCAGAGTTGAAATGAGAGGGGATAAAAAATTTGGAACCTTTCTCTGTCGATCGCCGTGATGCAATTGTTTCGGTCATCTTGATGTTAATTATGCTTGA